ATCTTGGAGAAGCTGATGGATCGGCTCGGTGGTATCTGTCCACACCATTTGTCTGATTGGATTCACCACCTTGAGATGTACCAGCAGACATTAAAGCAGATGGGAAATTGTTGTTGTCTGCCTGTACTTTCTGTTCCCAAAACAACTGATTACAGAATCTGGCTCTCCCTGGCAACGGCCTTGATCTGTTGGCAAATCCTTCCTGGCTGGAAGATGTTGACACGCTCTCTCCCCTCCCTCCCCCCTCCTCCCTCACCCATATGATCTGACTCCTGAGGAAGCTGGGGGCTCACAGAATGAACACTTACCATCAATATTCTGAACTATAGCTGTGCTGGTTTAGAGGACTGAATTCTTCGGGGCCCCTTAAACTCACTTACTCCTCTGGTTAATAAATCTGCCCTATGCAGAGGTTTTTTCATAAACACCATAGTGTGTCACAGTGTTGATATAATATGAGGTTTCTGCTTTTTCCTCATCTTCCCTTGTGTGGTTTTCAGTTTTTCTTTGTTTCTAAGTTGGTGCCACGGCAGGCAGCCTGTTACTGTAACTCTACTGTTTTGAGCTGCTGTATATTTCCTCACTGTGGGATCAATAAAGTTCTATCTTATCTCATCTCATCTCATCTCATCTTAAAGATATCTTTGCATCAACAGGAGAGTCTAAATTAAAGCTTTCTGACTTCATAGAGCCTCTGTTAGAAAGGTGGATTTTGCATTATGTCCCCTTTAAAGCTCTGTCTTGTAAGGTAGGAGCTGCATACATATCTTCACCATTCAGAACTGCTGCTGTCTTCTGATTTAAAGTGGACTGAGACAAAGTGCAGAACTGTTTGTGCTCAGATGGATCCAAATCTGAAATTCTTTTTCAAAACCACGGACATGATGTACTCAATACCAAAAAGGAGAGGGACCATCTAGCATATTGTCAGCACAAAGTGCAAAAGTCTGACTCACTGATGGTATGGGGGTACATTAGTGCCTCAGGCTTGGGCAGAAATGCTCCATCAATATAGAAAAGTATCTACAGGTTTTAGAACATCTGCTCCCCTCCAAGTGTTTTTTTCAGGGAGGACCTTCCATATTTCAGGAAGTCGATGCTAGATCTCATACTGCAATATTACAATTTGTAAATCACTGCAATCTGTTTTTATTTGCATGTAAATGAATGTGATTGGCACTGATTAGTCTCCATAACTGATTGTACATGTTAGCTTTGTAGAGAGCTAACAGAGTGCTGTGTGAATGGATAAATGAGGACACAGTTTGTAGTGTGAAGAGCTTTGAGTGTCCTACAGTCCATTTACCATCGCCACACATTCCYGCGTTTTCAGAATTGGAGTTGTAAAAACCTTATTACAAAATGTTTTTAGCATGAAAAATACCTGTAAAGAGTCCTTTTCTCAGCTGTAGAAAAGAGTTTGTTTCTGATTGTGTGCAGATCCTGTTGGGGAGGARCAGGTGTTTGCCAGCCCGTTTGGTTGCTGTATTCAGGAAGTGCTGCTCTGTTGCCACCCTACACTGAGTGAAGAGGGCATTGCAGCCCGGCTCGGTCTGACGCAGCGTTTGGAGAACACTCTGCACAGTCTGAGCACTGCTACACACGGCGCAGGTTTTCAGCACCATCCTCATATACTGAAATGCTACATTTGTGTTGTAGTGTTGCATTAACGTGTTGACATGTCTTTGAATTAGAGTATTTTTTAGTTTGGAAGTAGTTTGTAATAATTTTTGATGAACTTTGTTAAARGTTACCACACACATCAGTCTGTTTACCCAGTGATCGGAGCAGTGAAGGTGCTTTCAGATGTTTTCTGTCTGTGATGACATATTTAACAGAGGCCAGTGCTGGCAGCACTCTGCTCACCCTGTTGGTGGAACAGGCCAATCTGAAGCAGGCAGAGCTGGATGCTCATCCTGTTCGCTCCAACATGAAGCAGCTCCTTCGCTCTCTGGACCAGCTCTGCCCCTTCGAGCCCGACGGAGACTCTGCCAGACCAGATTACGTGCGCAGTTTCTTTGACTACATCAACACTCTAGCCTCTGTGTTAGTGCGTGGCCTCACYTCAGAAGGTAACATTATTTGGTACTTGCTTCTTCACCAAACTTTACTATCACAGAAAGTTCAAGTAATCTTCACTGCCAACACATCAGTCTGGATAAACTGTAACTGTGCTGTTATTCATATGTTTAAACTCTTCCTTTCTCCTTCAGACCACAGTGGTGAAGTGAAGCTTGGAAATCCACTGCTGGTTTTACTTCAGACACCTTTCCAGCTTCTCTCCCACCTGCTGTTTGATKGACAGGTGTCTCCTGACAGGTACATACCAGAATTACATCTTATTACAGTGACCATGTCAAGCCTGAAGTCTGCACACAGTCTTATCGCTCAGCCTGTTTTTCACGCTCACCCTAAAGCAGGGTTGTGAAACTCATTTTCACCCAGGACCACATGAGCAGTGTGGTACTAATTAACTTTGACGTGTTTAACTTCAACRAGACATGAACTGTCATGTTCCTCGTCTCATTGCAATAACTGAGCACTGCTAACAAACACTAACTCAGCTCTAAGTGGTATTTCCTGCATAGAAACAGTGTTTTAACACATCTTATAAACACTGAAAAGTACTGTGTGTATGACGGACTAAATGTTAAATAAATATTATAGAAATACTATTTAAAGTAGTAGTAAAAGGGTTTTACTCACTGTTGAGTTGTGGTGAGTAGTTACCGTCTTGAACAGAATTGAATTCTGAACTCTTCCACGTCCCAGCTGTGAACTCACACTGTTTACTTTAGTCTAGTTTAAATTTTTGACTTGTAAGTGGAAAATCCTCACTTACAACAGGGCTGCAGCAAAGTAGCCTATCCATCCATCCACCCATCCATCCATCCATCCATCCATCCATCCATCCATCCATCCATCCATCCATCCATCC